TCCTTCGTCCCATTTTTAGCTCTCCTCCTTTCGAGGGTCATCTGACATGGTTAGTAGGGCAGCTGGTGTAGAGACGGTCGCTCTCGAACTAGCGTTATCGCACCGTTACGTCCGTTCAATAGACCATCATCGTGCAGCCTTCTTGCCTCCCCCCCCCCCCCCTCCCATTCCGATCTCCGCAGTGAGTCAATAGTCACTACGGGATTTACCGTCTCGGCTTGCATACCTTGGGTGGAAGATACCGTCATTCTTGGTGGGACGCAGAGTTACACCGCTCGATCTATATCCCTCGTCGACCTATCAACGTCAAGATCCGAGCAACCCTCTCGAGAGTTTAACCCAAGGGGACAGAGCTTCGTCGTCACCTCTTGGATGCCGTTTTAAACTGTTCTAAAAGGCGATCACAAGCTTATTGACGCGACGCGACTCTGTGTCCGCGACGCTTCATTCGTTTTGCCCCGTGCCCCCAGCTCGGAGTCTAGCCCGGTTGCGCAAAGTCATCTGGCCCGCATTGTCTGGTCCTATCATCGTCCCGGGTGCCATCCTCTCCCACCCTCCATCGTTGATATCTGCAGATCATCTGCACGCGCATATTGGTTTCCGTCGTGCATAGTCCCTGCAGAGGTTTCCTCAGCTTGTCATCCCAGGGTGCATTCCCACTGGTCTACCCGCCATTTCCACTAACGCGGGAGTAACAGTTACTGGCCTTCTCGGTCTCAGTCCATAACAAGAAAAAGAAACCGGTTTTCCAGGAAAGCGAGTCGTGATCATGGCTACTAATTCGTTTCGCGACTCAGTCAACTCATTGGGCTGGTCTCGGAGAGACCCAGACATCCCCGTACGCACTAACGCCTCGTCCACGTCTTTCCTATCTCGGTTACAGTCATGGAATCCACTCGGTCAAGGCGAGGGATACGTGCAACTGCCCACTCATGAAGCTCCAGGAGCTCCCCTCCCGGCTGCAAGTCGACGGGAGGAGGAAGATAGTTTCTTTGCCTGTAAGTCTCCGAACATATGACCGATTCTCCGAAGGACTCCTATTCCTTGATTTTCTGCACTGCCTAGTCCAGGTGACGGAGTTCCAGTTCCTGCATCAGGGCGGGTGCCACGGAAGCCTATGGAGTCCGTTCTTTTTTCCCCGTTCTTGCACATCATTGATCTTCTTCATTTTCTATTGTTTTCACAAGGCTGATATTGCACTAGTGAGTCGGTGGGATCGTATGCTCGTATTCATTGCATGTAATGCCGGCGCCGCTGTTTGTTTCTTTATTTGCTTTTTCCTATTCCCGGTGCTCTCGCTCAAGCCCCGCAAGTTCGCCGTCCTGTAAGTCCCCAAATACCGACCCATCCCTCTGGATCCACGCAGGGCTCCTTCACAACACCACCACATTCCAGAAGTCCCGTGCATGCGGCGGTGTAAGGCCTGTGGCTGAGAGCCACGCACGCCGATCGAGCCTAGCATCGGCAGGCTACCGGCGACCACTCGCTGCGGAGAGTCTGAGTGCTTTGAGGCTGACAGAACCGGTTTCTCATTAGATGGTCTGTGGGTTCCTTGCTGTTTTTGCTGTCATGGGCAGTTCTCATGGGACCCCTGGTCTACGCTAAGCACCTGGTCTCGGGACCACGACTTCCGTTTACTGCCGCCTATTTTGGGGCGATTGCCATGACTCTATACTTCGCCGTCGGGGTAAGTCCATGTTTCAGTCCTCCGTTACGTGCTATACCCTGGTGGGGATGGTGTCACCTCCTAGTCTCTGTCTGCACCTCTGTCGCCCACACTAGTAGACGTTATACTTGCACCTCGATCTGGCGTGCATTTGGTCCGGGACTAGATCTGCATGACATCACCATGCGTGGTACATGTGAGCTCGGGGCAACAAATATACCGCAGATGCCGCATCTTTACCACACCCCCCCCCCTTGTCTAGCATGATGGCCAGCCTCGCTGACACTTTCTCTTCGCAGCGACATAACACCTTTCTCACCCTCATTTCGTCGATCTTCCAGCTTGCCGCTCTGATCTGGTACCTCGTCAGCTACTTTCCCATGGGTAGCACTGGGTTGCAATTCATGGGACGGTTTGGAGCGCAGCGCGTTACAACTTGGGTGACCGGCTGACTGCCCCTCGCCAGATGTATACTGTGGACTAATCGATCGTCGCATGATAAACCCAGTTTCTGTATTCTACAATTCTCCACCCCTTGTATACCTTGATGAATGGATGGCGAATTGCGCAAAGATTATTCTAAATATGTCTATAATGAATAAAACAGATTTAAACCGCTCGAGAGCTAATCCATACCCACTTATGCCTTTTCCACATTCCACACAGTAAATGCCTCATAATCTCAGCTCTATTCTACATGTTTCACCACTGCGACATTTACCCATATACAAATTACGTAGTAGTATCTCCTGGTGAGACCACGGCCAAAACATCAGACAGATCATTTCTTCTCCATAGATACATACTCCTCGAGACTAACCCAAGTAGCGTCTAACATATGTCCACCACATCACTCTAGGCTACCATCAATCTCTCCTGGGTATATTCGACCCCGGTCATATATATCTTACAGCATAAATGTCCCCTATATCCTTGGAACCCAAGAGAAATAAAGGTTGAACCTAGTATGGGGTTGGGGGATCTATACCCTGGTTTTCCTTTTCCTTTTCCTTTCTTCTTTCTGGTCTTACTTGATTTTGTGGGCAGGTTTCGTATAAATTTTGTATGGCTAGATTTTATATATATGTACGATGCATGGAGTGGTGATTACTATAGGTTTATTCAAATTTGATGTATATTTTTAGATCATGGTATCTACCAAATTATGCTATTGAAGGCTAATTATTATTTAATTTAATTAATAATTTATAAAGATTGGCTTGGAAAGAGAGAAGAAAGGAGAGACAGAAGGAGATTATTGTGATGGATTGGTGGTAGTGATGTGTGAAGTTCATCGATGTATGTTCTTAAGAAACTTGATCATGAAGCGTCATAAATATATATATCATCTATGGATATCAGGATGTGTTCATGCTCGAGAGTTGAATGCATACTCATTCATTAGAATTTAAACTGTTTTTTTTCTTCTTTTATCTGACCAGTCTCTGGCTAGGTCTTTTCTGTTTTTCTCTAGTCATCATCGGTCGTAAGTCTTACCTCCTACTCATAACCAGTCCAACAGTACCATTCACCACCTTCACGCCCGGAATCTCAGCCTCCCAGATACCCGAATCGCCGCCGGATCCTTCCTGATGCCAGCGCTGCAACAGATCGTTACTCTCCTTGGGCTTGACCTGGGGCGAAACCGTGCCCACCGTAACGTGTGGGATGTCATTCGCACAAGCCCATCCCGCTTGCTCCTCGTCCTCTGGGGGCATGATCCGAGCGACGAAAGCCATCAAACGATCGTCCCAGATAAGGCGTTCTAGCCGGACGCGGGCAGGCGCTAGGGCTGGGGTCACGGTGGGATCCGACTCGGGCTTCTCCTTCATCGTCTGGATGTATTGCTGGGTGTATCCGTCCCAAACTTCCGGGCGGTCTTTCTTCGAGGCTCGGTGAATCAATGTCACATGGAACGTGGGTTGGATGCGCCGGGTATTCGCCAGCTGACGGTACACCCGAGCTTTCTCTGGGTCTGTGGAAGGAGGGAACAAAGATTGGAGAACTTCCGACACCTCCGCTGCCGGCAGAGAGATGCAGAAGTATTCAACACCCTTTGCTAAGTTCTCCGGGGTTACGTTAGGTGTTGGGGTGGACTGGGAGCCTTTCTTGTTCTTGTCCTTCTGGGTCTTCGCCCCGTATTGGTGGCTGAGGTCAATCTGGACTTGGTAGTCGGACATCGCCCAGTCAAGGGCAGCATCGAGCTCCTGTGGGGTGGGGACCTGTTTCACGATTTGTGGGTAGAGCTTATGCAATGTGGTCACTACCGTCTCCAAGTTGCCCCGCGAATCAGCAGAAACATCTAGATCAATGACCTCGTCGAAGCTCTTGTCTGGCTCACGGTCGGTATCGACGCCCTCAAATCGACTGAGGAAGCCTTCCATGATGCCGATAATCTCTTCTGAGTTCTTGCTTCCAGCGCGGATGGTCTGGTGGTTGTCACCACGGTCGAGCACTCGCCGTCGGGTAACTTCTCGGATGCCTGGGAGCATCTGCCCCTTGGGCTCGTGAACATACTGCAGAGCTACAAACCTAGCCCGAGGAACAACCGGAAAGATGTCGTCCATGAGCTGTTGTCTTTCGCGACGCATGTGATTGTTCCGGTCCGCAATCACCACGGGGTGTGCCGCCAGAAGATTCGTGATATCGAGAGCAAACTTCTTCGGCTTGTTCTTCTGCTTAGGGATGTTATCGTTTTGGACATGTCCCCATCCAAACAGTTTGGTCAAAGCAAGCGCCACGGTAGTCTTTCCACAGCCCAGAGAAGCAATCGGAACCAAGATCACATCGTTCTTCACTTCCTCCTGTCCTTCCGCCTCCATCGCAATAATCTCGGATCCTTTCAGGCCTCGTTCCTGGAGGAAACCCTCTCGCATGGCAATAATCCCGTGGTTGTGCTGGTATTCCTTCGCCAGATGAGGGTTTTGGATGAGCTGTCTCCGTGCATACTTCAAGTATTCCTCGGTGATCTTCTTGTGTTTCTTGATGTTGGGGACCTTTCCGGCGATGACAGCCTTGGTGCATTCGCGCCACTGTCTGTACATCAAGTAAGGCTCCTCGAACTTGTATTTGAAGAACCAATCCTGGTACGGACCCCTACCACCTTCGTTCTTCTGACACCGAACCACAAATCCTTCCGTCTCTCGACCATCCCAGGTTCCAGATTCTGCACATCCCTCGAGGAATCTCTTCACTGAATCGATATCGTCGTATTCTACGAACTTCGCTTTCTTAAACCCCCATTTGTCGGCGAACGCATGTACCTCGGTACCGGGACACGTTGTGAACTCGGGAACATTGTAGTTAATACCATGCAGATAGAAGCCGGCAGCCGACTCATCGTACGCCAATACGTGTTCCTCGAAGCTATCGTCACAGAGCTCACCAACCGCGGTAGCATTCATCCGACGCAATTCTTGAGCCAGCTCCTTTACCGACTTCCCCACGGTCAAGACATGCCGCTCGATCCACTGTTCACCTGCCTGTGCATGGCTAATCTCGGTATCATTCCGGGACCCTGTCGAGTGTTTGCTGCAGACCAGCAGGGTGTCGTCTTCCAGTCCAGAGAGGAAGATGATACATCCGTTTTCTTTCACACTGAGCTCGTACGGTCCCCGGGTGTTATTCTCGATGTTCCTCCACTTGGTGTCGTTAACCTCGTCCACATTGAAGAACTTGTCGTATCCGCGCACTGCGATCTCGGGCGCGCCGTCCTTTCTGCGGGTCGTGAAGAGGCCTCGCGCGTAGGTGGGGAGATCGCCGCGCTTGTAATCCCAGTCCATGAACTTCCACGAGTCGACCGAGATGTGATCCGAGCCGACCACGGGAAAAGTGGATTTTTTGCAGGTGAACGATTGCTTGCCCTTGCCCCTGCCCTTCTTGCTGGCGGCCTCGAGGGCCTGGACCAGCTGGGAGACTTCTCCGACGTCCTGCTGGACCATTTTCACTTTTATCGTCTGTAATAGACGGGAGAATGTCTTGAGGAAGTGCGCCAGCCAAAGAAGTGATCGGAGGGGTGGGTTTTCGACTCAAGGAGGAGGGGATGTGCGCAGAAGCTGAGCACGAAGACGACTCAGAGAAGGAGCCGCTTTAACAGGGTCCTGATTCCTCCAATGTAACCCGAAGACCGCGTCCCCACCTGCGACAGGTCGAGTCAAGTGAAATGCAAGGGAGTACGAGGGGATGAGTCAGTTGTGGGCAGTGATGACACAGAGAAGGTGCAGACGGAGGCTCCGTTGGTGCTCTCAGTTCTTATCGGCGTCGGATCTGCGGGGCAATAAATCGATTTAATTCAAATTAATTTTGATTTTTTTTTCTCCGCCGGGCAGCACCTTTTAAAGCTGCCCCTCATTCACTCTCCCTCCCCCCCAATCTTTCAAGATTCTCCCTTTCGCTCATTATTCTAATATCCTTCCCTGTTCTATTAATAGTGCTCATTGTGTGAGTACCCATTCAGTCCACTTTTATGGCTCATCTCTGACTCATCGTCTAGTGATTGATCATCATGGCTCAGCCCAACCCCTACATTCTGGCCTGCGACAACCCGTCCGCGGTGCTGACGCTCCTGCGTTCCGACCCATCCATCGCCTCGAACCAAGATGAGCACGGATACTCCCTCCTGCACGCCGCTGCATCCTACAACCACATCGACCTTCTGCGCGCCCTGGTCAAGGAATTCAACGTCAACGTGAACCTGCTTGACGAAGATGCCGAAACCTGTTTGTTTGTGACCGAGACCGTGGAGATCGCCAAATGTCTCGTGGAGGAGCTGGGCGTCGACTATAACCACAAGAACGACGAGGGCATCACCGCGCAGGAGTCCATCGAGGCCGACGGGTCGTTTCCCGAGGTTGCTGCCTATCTCCGCCAAGTGATGGGTCTGCCGCCTGCGCCGGCTGAGGACCAGGTCGCGGACTCCTTGAACCCCGCTCCGCCATTGCCGTCCAACATCAGGGTGAACCTAGGCACGGTATCGGAGCAGGAGGCCAATGCGGGCACGGACCAGGTGGACCCGGAGTTCAAACGGAGGATTGATGAATTGGCGGCCCGGGACGATTTCCAGAGTGAGGCGACGCAGGCTCAGCTTCGGGAGTTGGTCATGGAGGCCATTCGGGGATCCAATGTGGATACTCAGGACCGGGAGGTCCGGCGCAGAATGGACTAGGCCAGGCGGACGGAACTTGTTATCAATGGCAAGGCTACTCAATATCCTCTAGTTTCCATTTGTTCGGCCTGGTGCCGACTCCATGGATACGCTGTGAGAAACCGGTTGAAACGAGTTGAGTTAGCTGGGCTACGATGTCCTGGTTCTGAAACTTGGATATGGCCACGGATATCCGAGGATATCCATCCCCGAGACGTGTGATATGCAGGAAGTGAGAATCTTCCTCTTATCGCTGTCTGCTGTGGCTGCAGAAGTCATGGCGGCGGTACCAACTACTATGCTGCAAGAGGCGGGATACGAGGCCAGTCGCCTGGTGGGAGTCGCATAGGATGCAATGCGTGATGGCTCGAACATACTTGGTATTCAGGACGATTACAGGAGTACCTCGGTAGTATAGATGGCTAGCGTTCATGAATAGATGATCATATGGTGTCGGCCTCAGGCAGTCATCACATTCCTCGACTGGTATATCGATTAGATCGATCCTCTCTCGTAGTCGTATATCAGGACGATCCTCATGTCCCATATCACGGACTGCATTAACTGCCGACCGAGAGTTGGAGCTCTATATACTACTACTACTCGTAGTACTACTGAATTGATATGACGTATCCACGTGACCGCCTGGTTTCCCCGCATCCCTCCCGCCAACCGACTCGACGATCCAATCCCGACCTCGCCTCCGCATTGAATCCCAGCAACTTCCAGTGTCGCTCGTCCGTAACGATGAACCCAACGCTGAACTCCGATACGCCTCCGCCCCCGCCCCCGAAGCCCACCAGCCACGAGGCGAGTCGCCGGGGTACACCGCAGCTCAACGCCTCGCTACCGGGAACGCCGCAGTCCCACGAACGATACCGAGCAGACGCGACCATGCATCGCTACTCAAACCCCAACCCGACCGGCACGTCTCTCCCTCGCCCGCCGACTGTCGACGAGGGCTGGCTACCGGAGAACGTGAAGGAGAAATCGTACGCTCCCCTCTCCTTTCTCTCGCACTGTTAACCGAACCACATTATCTAACTACAGGACGTTTCCAGGACCGTGGACCTCCAGACGATTCTCAAAGACCCGAATCTCATCTCCGCGCTGGCGAGTCGCCATCCATCCCACGCGGCCCATCAGGAGTACCTCCGGTCGCTGCTACAGTATAACAAGGATCTGGCGAGCCATGTCCTAGAGCTGCAAGGCCGGGTGATGGACCTGCGCGGGTCGACCGAGACGCTGCTATTGACGCACCAGTCGCTGGAGGTGTCGTGGCGGAAGAAACAGACGGAGATGGACGCTGCGCTGGCGCCGTGGTCGCCCAAGGCGCTGTACCAGCGGCTGGCGGCGTCGATATCCGAGCAGGAGGCGGTCTGCCATGCCGTGGAGGAGAGCTTCCTGGAGGGAGAGCATCACGGCCGGGCGACGGAGAAGGAGGTAGCGGACTGGATTCGCCGGGTGCGGGCGGAGGGGGCCAAGTTGGAGGCCAGACGGGAGGCCAAGGCGCGGTGGGATGAAGGGAGAGTGGGTGGGTGGCGGTGATACAGGTTGGGACATATTCCGTGCATCAATCATTGAAACGGGTCTGGCCTGATTATAACGTAACCTTATTTTTTTTTTAAGAAGCACATGGCGCACAGACTGTCTCGACTATAGTGCGAACGGGTATACAGCTATGACTAACGTATCGCGTGGACGCAAAGAAACATTCAACGAACACCCAACACCACCTCTCGTCTGCGGTTCCTTGGTTATTCTGCCAGGTTGCGTGGCCCGCTTTCCAGATCGCCGTCTTGACCTGCTGCGCGCTCTTCCCTCCGGGGACCGTCGTTCATGCTGGACCAGTTGTCGCCGCCGATGTGGCTGGGGAGTCCGACGCCCTTGAAGAAGGCATGTCGGCGACCTCGGGCGCCCCATGCCCAGCCGCCACCGCGCATGATAGGCAGGTGATACAGGCGGAATGCACCCCAGGCGAAGACCATGCCCATGACGGAGCCGAAGATAATGTCGAATCCGTGATGTCGGAAGTCAAACCAGCGCGACGCGGAGATGAAGAAGGCGACCGCCGTCGGCACGAAGGCCAGGATGAGCAGGAGGACGGGAGGCGCAGCGCCCAGGTCGCGAATGGCCTCGCGCTTCTGGCCGCGCAGGTCCAGGCCAAGGGGCGAATGCGCCAGATAGGGGAATCCAATGGAGAACTTCGCGCATAGCCAGAGACTCAGATAGGTCAACCCGGCAAACGCAACTAGATAGAAATCAGTCAAGATCAATCGATATCAGTTCCAATCCCACCAGACTCCAACCCCCCCCCCCAAAAAAATAGAAGAAAGAAAGACGAAACTCACAAGAAGAATGCCCACTTGGAAAGCTCACAAACCCATCCACGACCAACTCCTTGCCCCTATTCCTACAGATCTCCCAACCAACCACCCTCGGCGCGCGTCCACCTGTCCCCCAAGCCCTCCAACCACATAAGCATCAATATTCCCCAGATCAGGATCACAGCGAGCCAACAGATCCGGCCGCGACCGGCCATACAAATCCTTCAACCCCTCGGTAGCCATAAACGCCGCGGCAACCGCCAGCCCCAGCCCCAACCACCCGGCATTCCACTCCCAGATCTTCACCCGCCAGGCTGTACCACGATTCCACGACCCGGGCATAATGACCAGGGTCACGAGAACGATAATCACCGCCGGCACGATGAGCGCCACGACGACCAGGACGGCGGTGCTCACCGTCTCGTCTGTGGTGTACGGGAACGAGATGCTGGGATCGGTTAGCGTGAAGGGGCGGTGGTTGGGGGTGACTTTGTGGAAGCCGTAGCCTATTAGGGCTATTCCTCTGGTGATTCTGGATTAATTTTTGTTTTCTTGCCTTTGCAGTAGTAGATTCATCGATTAAAAGGTGTGGGGGGTTGGGGGGGTATGTATGTACATACATGATGAACACCCAGTCGATTACATAGGATATGAGAAGCGGGAGGTATTGTTTTGCGGCAGTGATGTCCACATTGCGCGTCCCCATCCTGTGGGTGGTTTTCTCGCCGGGCATCTAGATGTATCTTTTGTGGTGTTGGTGTTGGTGTTTCTTGGTTAAGGGAGGATTGACAGAAGAGAGGATAAGTGAATGAATGAATGAATGAATAGTAGCTAACTATGACGGGTAGGCTGTCAGTCATTCAGTCAACTGACAGAATCGAGTGCTTTACTACCCGCCAGGGATCAACAGACGAAGATCAAATCCTAACCGCGGAGATTAGCGCTACAGAACCAATCAGGTGGAGATGTTGAGTTTGGTTAAAAGGAGGTTTCGGGGGATCAACTTGAATAGTCATGTTTGCTGTTCGGGTTCTTGGCTGGGAACACTGCCTTGTTGCCAAGGTTGTGGTTCCGGGGATACCTTAATTGCTGTCTATTCCAGACGTAGAATAGACTGGGATGAGATGACGGGCAGTGGTGAGTGTCCCGAGTCTGTAGGAATCTATTGAAACCTTCGTGTGGTTCAGTTTGTTTGGTAGATCTTCTGCATGGCAAGTTTTATGTTGATCCTTGAGCGTAAATCATTCAGCTGGGCGATGTTAGTATGTATGGTAAGCATTCTTGCAGGGAGCTCCTGCGGGTCCTAGTGCGTGTTCTTTGGACAGTAAATCGTCACTTGATGATTTCGCTGTATTTTAGCCAGGTCAGTTGGAGCGACAAGTGCTTCATTTAGTATCGTAACAGAAATCAGTTCTTTTGTATGGCGTGGCACCTGGTTAGCCCTAATATCAGACAAGAGTATGGGCTCCAGGCAGCAGTCAAGTTAACCTTTCTTTCTCCCTCCACCTCGATGTTTGGATCTGATTCGATACAGTCAGCAACTGTCAAACCCAATGCTGGTAGGTTTCCATCCTTTCAATTCCATCGATTTCACTGTTTCGTGCATTGAGTTTGGTCTGGTAGATATAAGGTGGGAATTCAAGATCGGCACTTACCTTGCAGTAAATGTAACACCTTCAAAGGTGGTGTTACGACTCTCAGACGCTGGAGCTCATACTGCAGGGGTGTCCATATGGTAATAGAATTTATGCAGCTTATATTATTGATATTGTTATTTCAGGTGGCCTGATAAATCTCACATCGATAATATAAGCGCAGCTTATCATACTTGTCCATATCCAATAGACCACAAGAGCACCTTATTGTCTGCGGGTTACTCCTAGTAATCTAGATCAACTCTAAACATCCTGGCTGGGGATGCAAACCGCTCTCACTAGGAATCGATACCATGGATGCAGTATATTCCGACTGTGTCATGAGTTTGTAGATATTGTAGCGTTCAGCTTTAGAACAAGAACCAAAGATGTTCAGCGCTGATTCGGACACGTCAGGCTTCAAAAACCACGAAAGAAGAATAGTTTACAGGAATGTACATAATGAAAATACTTTCTTTTGAAGCTCTGCATCACTAGTCATTGCATTCCACACTCAATCGATATACGGGTGCTTACACAGAGCTCAGTCTTCTCAGGGCTCATGGTTCTTGTTCTTGTCTGCTGTCGACAAGCTGGGCATACTTGTTTCCCATTCAGTGAATATGTGCTCAAGAACACTTAGTGGGATTCTGGGCCGGAATAACACATTTCCCAATGATGATCTCTCCCAAGAAACAGTTACATATTCGCTTCGGCTTCTGAACTGCGCTCTCACCTACTCCCCCATCAGCTACCCCCCCACTGCCAGTCAAGCTTCGCACACCAAGAGAGTGCCACAATATATCCAAGAGACCTCAACATGTCTAACATACTCTATCAATTCGACCCGGATGGCGATGTGACATTCATCATTGAGCGTGCTCCAAAATCCCTGCCGCAGAGCTTGAGTGATCTCAACGCTTCTCTCCTCTCGAAGAGCTATGCTAGGTATGTTAACACCAACTGGAGACCCTGGTTTCAACTAGACTGATGAACCCTCCAAAATAGTCGGTTAGATCCCGCCAAAACCTCTGGATTATCTCTGCACATTCGTGCGTCCTCAAAGCATTTAATTCTAGCCAGCCCACAGTTCAGGGCCACATTCCAAAATGGATTCCAGGAGGGCAATGAGCTCCGATCTGCGGGCCATATAGAGATGCGAATCGGTGACTGGGAAGCTGTGCCGTTTCTGCTCCTGATGGCTATCTTGCACGGGCGGACTCGGTTAGTGCCTCAAAGTCTGTGTTTGGGCTGGCTGACAAAGATGGCTGTACTTGTTGACTACTACCAATGCTACGAAGCTGTCGCCATGGTTTGTGATCTGTGGACTAAAGGCTTTGAAAAGAAGCAGTCGACATTATCTAAGGAATACCCCATGGAGTGGCTATGCATCACATAGGCTTTTCTAAAGGATCAAGCCTTTAAATTCGTAACGAAGCACATCCAGCTAGAACACACAGAAAAGGTCTTCGCAAATAATCTGGCAATCCCTGCTAAGGTCATAGGTATGTCGATCAAGTATGTTAGCTTTGCAAGCCTAGAACACAATGATAACTCAACATACGACTTCAACAGCTACCCTGCAGACGTCGAGGGAAACAAGAATTTGCAATGTTATGGACGCTCTTTACGCCCTATTCCATCACTTGCGATATGGCCCGCAACTATGTAGCTTCGAATGCGATATGATGCGCCTGGTAGCGCTTACCAAAGGAATGCAGAAGTTTGGAATACTTTCAGAAACGCCTCAGCGACCAGCTGTTGGATACAGTTTCATGAAGCTGAGAGCCGCGTGTCTTTCCATGAACAGAGATCACACTCATTGCTGTAAGCTGATGCCAGAGGTTCTCAAAGTGTTGGGCGAGGAATATAACTCACTGAACCGTGGCCTCACCCTTGGATCCTTTGCTCCTCAGGGACAAAAGCCTTAAGCTTTGGTAGAGTGAAGGCGAATCTCATCTGCCAGGCTCTACTTCGAAAGTCGAGTTCTTTCCCATTTTGTAATGCTTCTCCTTGGTCTTATCTCTCTTTTGTTGCTGCTGAATTTATGCTTTATTCCCTGTCCTGTACTGCGAGATGCTCTCATCACTCAATACATTTTAATAGTACCGCTGCTTTTTCAAACTAAATACCTTGTCCAGACTATAACTGCCCAGGGATTGTGGTTTCCAATAATATAACTGACAACATTGCTATACTACAAGGCTTCTGAGACTCAGTATAACTGCATAAACCTAATCTCTGGCCCATGGCTCCGGACAACGAGAAACCGTGAACACTCAATCTAACCCAACACAAAAGCCTCATTTTTCACGCTGTCACACACTATGGTATAGAGGAAGCTGAAGAAAACTTGCGCAAGGCAGCATCTCACTTTGCTCGGCACACGCCGGGCCAATACGGTCGGACGAAGGAAGAACGGAAGCGACTTTATATTCGCATATTAAATGATATGGGAGAGGTTCTTCTACGAAAAGGCTTAGTAGCTGTAGCAACTGATATCTTCTCCCACATTCTCGACAGCCAAAGGGGCGTGTTGGGCGAATCTCATTCAACAATAGTGTCCACTAAGCTAAATCTTGGAAAGGCCAATACCTAACTTGGTGAATTCAGCGTAGCGCACAGCTTGCTGCAGGATGTTATTTTGCTTTATACAGAATGGTGGGGCCGCCGCCATCCAGACACTATGCGCGTTGTGGACGAGCTAGCTTCAGCATTCATGAAGGAGGGCGAGCATAAAATGGCTTTAGGTGTATGTGCAGCTTCGGAAGTTCAGAGTGCAGAAGAGCTTTGGAAGGAAGCCTTAGACCTCTATGAAGACACCTATGGAAACCAAGCTGATATGGGAGGTCGTATCAAAACTAATTTACAATTCCTCTATAGTTTGGAGCCTAGACATAGGTAAGTTGAATACAAGGATGATAAGAACAAGATGTCGTTTATCAGTACTGATATATGGCAACCGATATTTTTATTATGCAACGATATTGGCAGTGTCATGCAGGTAATCATTTAATCATTCTGAAAAGCTCAATGTATGGTGCCCTAACAGCTCATTTTTTTCCATCCAAGTCGGAGAAGAAGTCCCGACCGAAATCAGAGCTGCTGTCATTGAAACGAAGTTTCCTGTCGATTCCATGAATCTTCTGCATATCTTCCTCGCTTAGCTTGAAGTCTCCTGCCAAGTTGTCCCTGATTCTCGAGGGAGTCTTGGACTTGGGAAGCACCGAATGGCCCTGCGTGACACCCCAAGCTACAAGGAATGGTTAGTATGTTCCGCAACTTATATCGATCTTTCAGCATGCAGCACTTACCAAGAGCTCTTATTGTACTTCTTGCCAATCTCCACCAGTACCGGGTCATCAATTAACTTGCCAATAGTACCTTCACGGCTATAGAGCTCATTCTGATTTCCGAAGGGAGAGTAGTGAGTGACATGGATGCCCTTCTCTTTGTGCCAGTCGACGAATGAACGCTGCTGCAGCCATGGGTGGCCCTCTAGCTGATGTGCCGCGGGCACGACCGAGGTATTCTTAAGCAGATGCTCCATCTCAGCCTTGGAGAAGTTCGAGACACCAATTGCTTTGACCTTTCCGGTGGACAGCAACTTTTCCATTGCTTTGTAAGTATCAACGAAGTCAACATCTATGACAGCCGGCTTTCCATTCTCCTTGGGGAAAAGCTCATCTCCTCGCTTCCACGCCACAGGCCAATGCATCAAGTAAAGGTCAACATATTCCAGGTCCAGATCGTTGAGCGAATCCTGAAGGGCCTGAGCGACGTCATCGGGGTGATGCTTGTTGTTCCAGAGCTTGGTCGTGATGAAAAGCTCCTCACGGGGCACACCACTCTTATTGATGGCTTTTCCTACAGCGTTCTCGGTTCCGTAACTATCAATTGTCAGGACTGAGTTACCGTTTGCAAAACTGTCGATCGTGAACTCACACTCGCGCAGTGTCAATGTGGCGATATCCCGCCTTAATGGCTTCAGCCACAGCATTCTCTTGTGCCTCGGCATCCTGCCAGGTGCCAAATCCAATGGCAGGGATTTCTGCGCCAGTGTTGAGCTTGAACTGAGTCATTTTGTTCCTGAACGATGTGATTGTTTCTTGAATGATTTGGTAGAGTTGGTTTCCTGTAGTTCTACAGCCGACAAAGAGACAATGGCCTATTTATATATTACATACTGGAGCAGGTCTAGCAGAGAATGTCTACTTTGACAGGGGAATTAGTCTACCAGTCAACGTCAAATTGACGCACCCAATATTATTAATTTAATTCATTCCTGTCGGTGGATAGGATGACGTCGCGGTGAACCAAGAAAGCAGCTCCACCATGAGCACAAAACAAGGTCAGGAGTAGAACTGGGAAGAAAGCTATCATGCAATATGGAGTGTTCTCCTATTTCTTGAACCACCGAAAAAGTCAGAATAGTAATTAATATATAAATACGAAGGTAGAGCTTCATTTGTACTTCTGATTTATATGGAAATGTGGGTGTCAGGCGAGTAGTTCAACATAACTTATGCTGCATAAATCAGCTAATGAACACAAATTAGTCATCTTGATGCTAGTCACGTGCCAGTCTATTCACATCGCCCGAAAGTAAACATCAAGAACTAGATCCGTAACTGTACGTGTTTCTATCAAGGCTCTTCTTTGAATTCTGTCAAAAGTGCCTTTGGTGGCCATGGCCCTTCCGGCTGATACTCCACTTTAAAATGATAATGCCCTGAGCCTACAGTCCGGGCTTCAGATGGCTTTCCGTGCGGCAGTATAACTAGAGCATTGCTGTTTGGTGGCACGGTAAGCTCCATGTGGAACACCTGGCCTGCTTCTTCGTCAAGAACTCGCCACGCACACCGGATCAGGCCACAGGGAGACTTGAATTCAACCTGGGCACTGGTGACCGTCCCTCCCGGTCGTGGTTGCACGATGAATTTGCGCCACCCGGGGTGTTCGGCTTGGGGGCGTAGTCCTCCAACCACCGTATGTAGCCAGTTCGCAACAGCGCCAAGAGCATAGTGGTTGAAGCTAGTCATCATGCCTGGGTTGACTGAGCCATCCGGTAGCATGCTATCCCAACGTTCCCAGACTGTTGTTCCGCCCATCTTCACGGCGTACAGCCACGACGGGCATTCCTCTTCAAGCAGCATGCGGTAGGCGATCTGCAGATGGCTAGTTGAGGACAGAGCGTGAAGAACTGCCGGGGTACCTGCAAAGCCTGTGCTAACGCGGAACTTTGCGTATCGGACTAGACGGGCCAGGCGATCTGCTGCGTTCGCTCGTTTCTTGCACACATTCCGGGCATCAGAGCCGGTAGCCGCAGGGTCCGAAGCACCGTACAGGGAGAAATTTAGTGCAAGGGCAAGACTAGTTTGCGAATCACCCACGATTAAACCTGATGGGGCCATGTACTTGTCCTGGAATGCCTGCGTCAGACGATCGTGGCTATGGCGGTATCTTGTGCAATCGTCGGCGTGTCCAAGAATGTCAGCGATCTTGGCCATAACTCCCGTCACATAGACAAGGTACTCGTCAGCGACCAGAGTACCATCAGTCCTCGCCAAGCCAGGCTCCTGGGGTGGTGCGTTAGGGTCTAACCAGTCCCCAAGTTGCCACACGTTCGGATCCCATAATCCATCCTCCCCCCTTGGAATTGCAGTATCAAGGTAGTCTTGCATCCCAGAATAACTTTGGCGCAGTGTCTCAAGGTCACCGAAGTACTGGTACAGTATCCAGGGGAGCAAAATCACAACGTCGTCCCAGATAGCTTGTGCAAGGACCGGCCATTTCCACTTCGAGAGACAGTTGGGGACCACGAATGGGACCACGCCATTGGTGTCCTTCTGGTCGTAGATAACATCTTTCATCCAGTTTGCAAGCATACTGTCGCAATCGTAGAGAAAGGAGGCAGTGGGTGAGAACACTTGGATGTCTCCCGTCCAGCCCATTCGCTCATCCCGCTGGGGGCAATCGGTTGGTATCGAGAAGAAGTTCCCCCGCATGCTCCACACGACATTCTGATGTAGCCGGTTTAATAGACTATTGGAGCATTCGAAATACCCGGTGCGATCCATGTCAGTATGCATTACCAGAGCCGAGACAGCACTGACGGTCAACGGATCCGTTGTGTCCTCTGCGCTCCATCCATCGAATTCAACAAAGCGAAACCCATGATACGTAAAGTGAACCGACCAGTCAACGAGCCCATCATCCTCACCGAAGATAACAGTGTCTGTAGCCTTCGCCCGACGAAGAGGGCGAACCGCAAGCTCGCCATCCTCCAAAACTTCTGCGTGCCGTATCTGCAGTCGGTGGCCAAGGGGTTTTTTCAGCCGGTGGATGTGAATTCTGCCTACTAGATTTTGTCCAAAATCGACCAGTGTCTTCCCCGAGCTACTACAGAAAATCCTGACGGGCTGGACAGTTTCGATTACCTTCACAGGGGGTGCTGAGCTGGCCACCAACTTCGCAGAAGGGAACGTCATCAGCTTCACTGGCTGCCATGGCTCCAAGTCCGACCGGACGTTTCGGTTCCAGTCCGGAGTTTCAAGCCGGCGATCGTAGAATTCTCCAGCCCAGATTCCGCTAGCCAGTATGGGGGAGAGCTTGCTCTCCCATGTCTGATCAGAGCATAGGCGGAGAGACGGAGGCTTTCCCTCCTCATCAAAGATCTCCAACTGGGCCAGTACCCCTAATTCCTCGCCGTAGAGACATTTAGAATGTTCATCCCAGGCAATCTGTCCCGCGTACCAGCCTTCAGCGACCTCGATGGCTAGTATATTTTCTGACCCCGACACAAGCATGGCGGTCACATCATAGACTTGATATTGGATACGGTGGTGGTAACTTGTATATCCAGGCGTCATATGACCGTCGCCGATGCGATGCCCGTTCAGATATGCCACATACAGACCCAGAGCTGTTATATATAGCCGAGCTTTCACGGGTGAGACCTGTGCGTCCACGCTGAAAGCCCTTCTCAGGCGGATTGGCCTCAGTCCATCCTCCCCAGCAGCCGTTGCGGGTGAAAGACTGGATGTTATAAAGCTCGCAGTCCAATCGCTGCGCGCAAGAAGGGCAGCCTCGATCTGCACCCATTCCGACCATGGGGTTGAGTTCAATGATCTTGAGCCAGCTGTGCTTTGGATTCTGCCATGTGCTCTGACCCGAAATGCCGCCCTTTCTCGAGAGACCAGTGGTCTGTCCGGCCAGGGCTCTGAGAACGAAGTTGAGCTCGTGATGCGAAAGACTGTAACTTGACCGGAACCACTCGGCCTCTCTATCTCGATATCATAGGAAGTCTGTACCCATCCGCTTGGGTTGTCGCCACTCGCAGCATAGCGCCATGAGAATTGGGGTTCGTCAGATACCCCTAAGCCTGAGTAGTGCCTTGCCAGCCGCAGGTCGTGAATCTCAATCATAGCGGAGAACTCAATAAGAGTCGACAAGGCAGAATTCTCTGGAAAGAACACTGCAGGGTAGGGTGGCAGTTGCACGCCTAGGGTATTTCACCAGAGGGACCCTCGAAAGTTTCGGGGCTCAAAAGCCCGAGGGGGTGTTAGCACGCGGGTTTCGGTCTAAAACCCTGAGACGTTGGGGTAGATCGTATTCGGAAGTCGTAGCCACCATATTCCTGGCTCGGATCGCCTGCCACATTCCATAGTCCCATCATGGAGGTCAAAGGTACGGACACGGCGGATTGCTTCCTTCGCTATCCATTCTCCAGGTTTACCCCAGCATGGTGGGTCCACTGTCGATATAAGAGTGCCTTTCCCAACCGCCAATTTGCCATCTAAGCCTCCACAACTCAACACAGTTTCGTATCCCAACCCAATATGGCACAAAGTCATACTCCAACAGAGCGCGGCGAAAAGATTGACTCGGATGAAGTCGAGCAAATCGAGCAAGTCGACCAGTCAGAACAGCATCTCGCTCGTCTAGCCAACCACGAGGATCATACCCTCGGCAAACTCGACGCGCTCAGAAAATATCCGAGAAGCATCGCGTGGTGTATCTATGGTGCCTGGTGCCTGGTACTCGCAAGCTTTGAGAACCTTGCAGGCGGCCAAGTCATCGGGATCCCCCAGTTTCGAAAAGACTTTGGTCACCCATACGCTGGCGATTATGTCCTGGAAAGCAGTTGGCAGAGCGCCATCAACGGTGCACCCGTTGCGGCGTAAGTTTACCGGCCTAGTTCCTGATAATGCATCCCTGGTAGTACTAACACTGAGTAGCGTTGCAGTTGGCACCCTAGGCGCTGCGTACTTGGCCGACAAGATTGGGCGGAAATACATGCTTCTCATCGGACTCGCCATTGGTTATGCGGGGATTACGTTGGAAATTACTGCAACATCACTCCAGGTGTTTTTCATCGGAAAGTTCATCAATGGGTTTGCAATCGGGACATATTCGTCCGTTGCAGTCTCTTATGTTGGCGAGGTCAGTAAACCCCAGCCCATTACTACTGTGCAGCCACCTCTGACCGACAGCTGGCTAGATCGCACCACTTGCCCTCCGCGGCGTCATGACAGCCCTTTGTGCCTTCGCATTCACATTTGGTCCATTGATTGGAGCCCTTATCATGAACTACACGTCCAGCTCAGATACCCGGTGGGCTTACCGCGCCCTGTTCAGTTCCCAGTATGGATTTGCCGGCATCGCAACCATCATTTGGCCATTTATGCCGGAATCACCCTGGTGGCTCCTCAGTTCGAATCGAGAAACCGCAGCAAAGAAGGCTCTGAGGTCCCTCGGTCTCCCCGCTGACGAGATCCCCAAGCGAGTTGCAGATATCAAAAACACGCTCGCCCAGATCCAAGAAGAAAGCGCAGGCGTCACCTACCTCGAATGTTTCCGGCTCAGCAACTTCCGCCGGACAATCATTTCCATCGCCCCCATGTGCATTGTCGGCCTGAACGGCGTTTACTTCATCGGTAGTTACTTCACATACTACGTGCAGTTGGCCGGCTTTACCGCCAGGGAATCCTTCCAGCTCCAAATCGCGCAGCAGGTCCTAAGCATGGCCGGCAATATAATGTCATGGTTTGTTATTGACCGTGTTGGTCGCCGCGACCTTACATTCTGGGGCCTCGTCGTTCTCACTATCGTCCTCATCATCGTTGGCGGACTGGGTACCCGAACTGAGGTGGCAACGACCAAGGGCGTGATCGCTCTCGAAATGCTCTACGTGTGGTGGTATAACCTCACGATTGGCGCTACGGCGTACACTCTACTTGCGGAAACCGCAGCAGCCCGACTGCGGGTCAAGTCTGTGGCGATTGGTGTTGCGCTGCAGAACGTCCTCTTCACAATGTGGGCGTTTGTTATCCCGTTTGTCTTCAACCCTGACAAGGCGAATCTGGGGGCTAAGACGGCGTTTATCTTCGGGGGTATCTCAGTCTTCTGTATTCTCTATGTGTGGGTGTATCAGCCTGAAACGGCGGGGCGAACCTACGCCGAACTAGATGAGATGTTCATGAAGGGCGTGCCGGCGAGAAAGTTCAAGACGTACCGAACGGATATTGAAATCCAAGGTGAGGCTGTGCTGCAGGGAAAGAAACTAGAGACTTGAATTTATGGAGTCTAGTTCCACTCCTGTAGCTTGGGTATTTTTGTTAGTTACTGCTGTTGGGTTAAATACAGTCTGACCATAACGTACTATCCTGTCTTTGTGTGAAGAGCATCAATCAGGTAGAAATAACTCAACACACGGAGGTCAGAACTACCCCACATAAAGTCCAACAGAGATTGAACTGGCCACAAACCTGTACGGCATCCAATCTAGGGATCAGGTGATAGAAAGCCTTTACCTCTCGCATGCCCTAGAGCCTACCAAGTAGCGCACTAGATAACCCAAGGTCACCGTGTGCCTTACACAACCTCTACAAAGGTCTGCTATCCCTGACATCTTTGATAACATTTACCGTTGTCTCTAGGACGTTAATTTGACATTATGGTACTAAGATCACGTTTCTACACCCACATATAAGACAAGATACGAGGAAGACCAACGATTATCTTGACAGCTATGTTGAGTCCTCATATTTCACAACTCCCTCTCCATAACATAGATAACGCTCTCACAGAAAGCAATAACCAAGCCCCCATAGCCCAGTGCAGGACGTTCTTTTCCTAATCACGGAGTCTCTTGTAGTAAGCCTCCTAATCCGAGTTAAGAACACGCTGGGTAGCAGTCTCCGTCTTGTGGAACCTCCACGGCTTGACCCTACGCTCAAAGAGCTCATCCAGCTCCGCAGAAGTGCGTCTGGAGTGGCACGTTAGCTCAAGTATACCTACCCATCCGCACAATGCCGACAAACGCAAAACGTACCCGTTGGTTTCGGGGATCAATAGCCACATGAGAATCACGCAGGGGAATCCAAGTCCCGCGTAGAACCACCCCGCCTTGAGGCCCCAGTTCCACTGGTTGGTGTTCACCATGTACGGAGTGAGCACGTTCATCACAACGCCTGCTGCACAGGTTGTAGCGGCTCCGAACCCGGCTGTGTAGCCTCGCAGTCGCTGGGAGGATATCTCGCCGATGAACCCCCATCCGGTTGCGCTGTTGGCTACGACGCCGATATCTGGATGGAATGTGAGCGGAGTGCTTGGATAGTAGCGGGACGGCGATGGGGGAGGCAAGGGAACATACTCCACAAGATAGCAAACAGGACAAAGAGATAATTGGAAGCCGGCACGGAAGGGGTGACGCCCAGAATCCCAACAGCTACGCAAGCGAACCAGGATAGAGTAGACCCCGTGCATGAGATCATCCGTCGACCAACCTTGTCTGCCGAGAGGATCACGACCAAGTTCGTGGCGATGTTGATGCCGATGATGATGCATTTGGTCATGAAGGGATTGTCGAGGCCGGCCTGTTGGAAAAAGTACGAGGCGAAGGTTGAGAACAATGTGAGGCCGAGGAACTGCTGGGTCAGTAAAGTCCAGAGCGCAGTAAGAGTGCGCCTCCCATCAACGCCTCTGAAGATAGAATACCACCGTTCGTTTTTCGAAGCACGAGCAACTTCCAACTCGTGTTCCACCGCGAGTACAAGCAGACGGTACTGCTGCTCCACGTCGTAATCCTGAACTCCACGATGCAGGTTGCGCAACGACTCCTTGGCAAGTTCTGCTTTCCCCCGTGTCACGCACCACGCAGGCGATTCTGGAACGAAGATGTAAATCAGGAGCATCAGGCCAATCTGGCTCCATTGGGTGTAGATGGGCGTAAGCCAGTCCGTTGGGCGGCTTTTGCTCAAAACCTGCAAGGTGACCGGGGCGAAAAGCGTACCGAGCACGAACCAGAAGTTGAATGCCATTAGCAGACTACCACGAATGCGAGTGGGTGCCACCTCAGCAATGTAAGTGGGCACTGTAGATTGGAGGCAACCAACGCCTATTCCTGCCAGTAACTTGGCAATGAGCCACACTGGCCAGCGGCGTGCCAGACATTCTGCCAGCACGCTGATCGCGAGCACAAACCAATACGTATACATAGCTGTTTTGCGTCCATACTTGTCAGAGAGGAACGGAAGAGTGGTCATCCCGATTATCTGCCCCACAGACATGCAGGCGGTCCAGGCACTAAGAATCGACGAGGCCAGCGCAGGTGAACCATCAGGATTGGTTTCTGTGGCGAATTGAGCGACGAAGCCCTTATTTGCGATGATATTGCCGTTGATACTACAGGGCTGTCAGTTCGACCTCTCTAAGGAGGGCCCCTTGGTCACCCTGTAGGTGCACGAACCTAATTTGATAGCCATCTGTGGCCGCACTGAACGCGACAGCAGCGCAGACTGCGGTATTGACTGGAAATAACTTGATTGTTTCCCATACTGTGAGCGCTTCATATCCAGTGACACCTTGTCCTCTGGCAGCAGCGTCACCAAGCGCATCCTTGGTCGTTGTAGGGTTGTGTGCCATTTCAATGTGTACAGCCTCGTCTGTCTTTGACATTTCCTGATCATCCACCTTAGCCGGATTCATAGGAGAAGACTGGGCCATATTGCTATCCTAACGAGCTCGCTCACAAGGTGGGTTAAAAATGTCAAACGTGCATTTCATCATTATTGGTATACTGGATAGCTAGATATAACAATCGAGCTATACAAGTAAGCACCCTCCACCCCCACGCTTCAACTACATAGCTACAGCTATCCATAGGATGCAGAGCCGGCTCAGCGTGGGGAAAACCTGGGGAAAGGAAAAGGTTAATTGCAGACTAGCCTCGCGACTTGTTTGCCCGAGATGCTGTATGAAGGATCAGAACTATAAAGCCCTTACTGTTTGGGTAAAAATAACCACTGGGGGAAGTGGACGTGTCTGAGCGTGATGTGAATCAGCACTACGAGTGTCAGTTCATGTGTTCTGTCTCGCAATCTATTACCCCGGGTTCAAGTCTATTACCCCAAATTCGAGCTGACACTGCATAGTTACCCCATGGGCGCGACCTAGCAATGCTATGTGAAGCTTATTTTTCCAACCTGCTAGCCAGATGTCTATCCCAATCATTAGCACTGTAGAGAGGGGAATACGACGCACTCAGGGCCTCTGAATTAAGTCGTACGTTTAAGACACTGCCATCTATATTTTCGGACTTGCTCTACAGGAAAGCAACTTACCATCTCTAGTCTCAAGTCCTGTCTAAGGGTAGTCCACGCGGGTGGTGAACAACAGACCTGTCTTGCTGATGTACGCGGGTACTCTAATTGAAGCTACATCGCCTTGTCAGAATAATTGAGGATGCTTAATCTGTCTCGTCCCAGCTGCCATCTGAATCTCGAGGCTACTCCCCGCGCTAATCATAACATTTTCTACGATCATGTATGGTTCTCTAGAACTTGTCCTGGTTCTGCAACCAAAACGTTCCCTGCTGCATCCTGCAATGACACAAAGCCAGATCTGCAAACATCAACACCTTACTTACAAAGGAGGTTTCGCTCATCTCTTCAAGTGGAGGAGCGGGAGTAAGGGCAAGAGAAATCGATCGATTCAAGCTGTATAGATATAGAGATATATGTGTAACTCATTGGGGGATGGAGATGGTCCGGTAGTGAGGTTACTAAGAACTAAAGTATTTTTTTTTTACATCTCTAACGTATCATAAACCACGGAATACGTCGTACTCCATACACAGAGATCATGAGTGGGTCCTAACCGCAGACTCAGGTTGAGGGCAGTTCTCCCTCACTGTTAAGGCACTCCAAGGATGGAGGTCGTCTACTCCATAATAGACACTGTCCTACAAAAGTACCGCTAGATAGCTGCGCTTCCAGCTACTCATTCAGATACAACGTTGGCAAACCCAAGTAAGCAACTCCACGCGACTGCCTCGGAATCCTTTCAGCCGCTCGCATTTATATCGGTAAGTCGGTTTACTCTATTCCGATGTCCGCTTCCCCACCGGGCGGAATAGAGTATTCCAGGGTCTGGCCCACTTTACCCAAGCAATGTGGGTGGTCCGTGTGCTCTTCCATGCTTCATAGTATCTTAGGCTCAAGGGTCCAATGATGGTTGAAGCCGCGAGGTGCAGTGATGTGTAATTGTTGTCCTTTTTTCCTTCCGGAGACGAAGGATAGGAGTTATATACCCTGTTAGATATTTCGCAAGGGGAATACAATTGCTAAGCAGAGAGTGTTATTCTTTTGTCAATCTAGTTGGGAAACTGTTACGGCTGCTCAATGTCGTGCTTGACGTCCTGGAAAGCCCACCAGACCACAGAACAGTATCTTATGCCCCCCGGAGGGCTGCAATCCCAGCACTGATATCCTGTCCGACTGCTCTCTCCAGAACTCTCTTACGACTCTCTAACAGCTGTCTAGAAATATCCTTCCAGCCAAGGATAGACGTATCATCGGCGTCTGATCCATCCCGAATCTCCACTGGCCTTAAAACGCCCCTCTCCTTACGAATACACCCATCAACAATAACCATATCAATATCACGCACACTCGCATACAACAAAACCGCCGCCAACGGATTCTCTTCCACAGTACAAACCATACCCGGCGACGATGTATCAAAAACAACAATATCCGCCTTCTTCCCCACCGCCAGACTCCCAATCTGCGCTTCCATATTAATAGCCCGAGCGCCCTGGATCGTGCCCAGATTAAACGCCTCTTGAAGATGGACATCAATACTGGGATACTGGCTGTTCTGCAGGGCCTGTGTATTGCGAACGGCACGGGTATGCTGCAGCCCCAGTCGGATCTGGGTGAGGATGTCCGAGGAGTTGTTCGAGTGGCAGTCGACCCCGATGCAGGTGTGTGATTTTAGATCCGGGCGGAAGGCAACGGGGTCGCCAAGGCCCATTTGCATTTCTGTTTCGGGTGTGCTGCAGATAAAGGCGTCCTGGGATTTCAGGGTGAGGGCGTCTGGTTCGGAGATCCCATTTCCGTGGGAGATTAGTACCCGTGAGGTTAGCTGGCTGGCTGAGGATAGGAGTTGGATGGCGTCTTTTTAGCCGGCCCATTAGCTCAGTCTGAGAGAAATAGGGCATAGTTTCAGGTCCACGTACTCGGCATAAGCCCTGCAACATAGTGCGTAGTGAGGAGCTTTATGCCCAGGGCCTGGGCCTTTTGCCATAAAGCAATCACGGTGTCGTGAGGGATATTAAAGTCTACCGCGAGACCGAGACTCACCCGCCCATCACCGAACGGTGCAACTGCTGCCAGGGATTCAAGCGTTTGATGCCACCACTCGGGGAGGAACTCGTGGTCGAACTCTACAGTTGACGACCACTCTCGGATGCGGTGGATCGGTGTGTAGCAGAAGACTGATCGGATTCCCGAAGATACTGATGCTTTGATTCCTTGTTTGGCTAACGGGAATAGAGTGTCTGATCAGCCTATCCGAACTAAACGTGGGCAGAAAACTGGGACCGATGTTCAAGCCTACCATGCTCAGGGGAATATGTCATGTGCGCGTGATCGACGACGGTGGTGACGCCAGCATCAATACTTTGGAGACAGCCACTCAGCTGGCCCCAGAAGATGTCTTCTGGCCGGTAGTTGTATGATTGGAGATTCCCTTGATCCCAATTAGCCCATACCCCAACAGCGGGATAAACCAGGGCCAGACTACACCGGACGCCATATATTCCATGAAGCCCTGGTCGCCATGGCGGCCCTTAAGCTGTTGATAAGTCAACAAACCATGCATTTCAGAAGAGAGCGCGGTTCTAGTTGGACGGACCTGACTCTGCCACAAGTGATGGTGGGCATCAATAAACCCCGGGGAGATGATTTTGGCTGCACAATCGATCTGTTTGCAGCCGGACGGGGCGACCAAGTTCTGTCCGATTTCGCTGATTTTGTCCCCTTCGATAAGCAAGTCGTGGTCTTTGAGCCATCGGACATTCTGGCCTTCATGGAAGAGAATGGTCCCGTTTCGCAGGAGGGTTGAGTGGGAAGTGGAAGACATATTTGCGTGTATTCCTCCTGTTTTTGCCCTCTTTTCCAGCCCCGCTCGTAGTCTTATCCAAAGTGTCCCGGGCTGTTGGTAGAAATACTCAATATCCGGCTCAAGGCTTATCAATCAATCGGCGGTCCGGCGCCTTTCAAGGCCGAGTTTCTGCAATGACATAATCCCCGATCTCTAAGCGTACGGACTACCCCACCGCATGATGGTGAGATCATCTCGACATACTTGGGCTAGGGAGGGAGGCCTCATTCTTTCTGTGTTAGGGCTATTAACCAGACAGTCCGCAAAGTGGGTAATCGTCGACCAATCCCGGGCCCGGTGCACTCTACCCCGGCGCCCCCACCGAGTGCCTGGTCTCCCCCCGAAGAAGATTCATGCAAACTGTACCGGGGATCGCTCGGATGGCTCGATGGGAATGTCAGGATCGGTATATAAAATGCAGGCTATCTTGCTACAGACCCATGCCGAGTCATCGTGAGATACGCGGGAAAGCCAAATACAACTGACACACCGAGATCATGTCGAAATTGTTCACTCCTCTGAAAGTCGGCCGCATGGCGCTGAGCCACCGCATCGCTATGGCACCCATGACCCGTTTGCGAGCCGATCAGCACCACCGACCCCTGCCGTCAGTGAAAGAGTACTACCAGCAACGGGCTTGCGTTCCGGGCACCCTACTCATAACCGAGGCCACTGTGATCACTCCCGCACACGGTGGTTACTCCAATGTGCCGGGAATCTACAACGATGCTCAGCTTGAAGCCTGGAAAGAGGTTACCAAGGCCGTTCACGCACAGGGATCGCACATTTATATGCAGCTCTGGGCGCTTGGGCGCGCAGGAAACCCCCAGTTCCTACAGGCTCAAGGATATGATGTGGTTTCTAGCAGCGACGTACCGATGCAAAGCACATTCAGTGACGAAATGCATCATCCACGAGCCTTGCGCGAGGAGGAGATCTACTCGGCCATCGAGGATTTTGCGACTGCGGCCCAGAATGCCATTCGTGCCGGGTTTGATGGGGTAGAGATCCATGGGGCCAATGGCTATCTGGTCGACCAGTTCATTCAAGATGTGTCGAACAAGCGGACTGATGCTTGGGGTGGAAGTCTTGAAAAGCGATCCAAGTTCGCGGTGGAGGTCACTCGAGCCGTGGTCAATGCAATCGGCAATGACCGTACCGCTATACGACTAAGTCCTTGGAGCCGATACCAGGGCATGCGCATGGCCGATCCAATCCCTCAATTCTCTGACCTGGTTTCGAAGCTGGCAGACTTCAAGCTGGCATATCTGCATGCTTGTGAATCCGACAGCAAGGATCCAGCAGAAAACTCCAAGTTCCTTCTTGATGCCTATGGCAATGCAGGCCCCGTCATCCTGGCCGGAGGTCACAATCACGAATCAGCGAAAGAAGCGGTAGACACTAAGTATAAGAGCAATGATGTTGCAATTGCTTTCGGCCGGCCGTTTATTTCTAATCCTGACCTCGCCTTCCGGGTACAACAAAACATCCCATTTGCCTCGCACGATCCCGCCAGTATGTACGCACAGACATCAGAAGGGTATATTGATTATGAGTTCAGCGATGACTTCAAGTCAGCCAAGGTCTCCGCGTGATATAGAATTGAAACATGCTAAATATGCTTTCATTTCAGTTCCCCATCTTGTCATTCAAATTTCTATTCGTTTTTCTTTCGTGGTTATTCATGTCTATTTCATGTTCTTTATTACATTGTACATATTGTATTTTATATATATTTAACAGCCTTGTGCAGCACGTGAAAAGCCTACCAGCACCGGGTAAGTCTATCAAATGACGCACTCACCTTTGTATGTGCTGGGGAGAACTATCATCATCGAAAGGTTGTTGCTATTCATGGAGAAGGTCAGGATTAGTCTGCCAGTTGCACAACTTCACCCAACTTGACTGGCAAGCGATTCCTGAAGAATATCTTAAGACTTTATTACCGACATTATTAGATAATAGAGATTAAATATGGTATAACTGAAATCTTTACACATCCAGCGATGTTTTCCAAATAGATACGCTCAAAAACCCCTCCAGCAGTCCAAATCATCTATAGACAGTGAGCTCTAGCCTGGCAGATTATGCATCAGTTATAGAACCCATTTCAAATGCACCTGTCAACATGCTGCAATAGTAAAATTACTCTTCTTCTGTGTTAGAAAATACCAACTAGATCACTGCTACAGTTCAACAATATCGTGGCTAATTGGCATTTTAACCACGAGTAGATAAAAAGGATCCAGAGAGGGTATTTATTATTTCTTTCCGGTGTGTCTTCCCAGGTAAAGAGCAGACCATAACAGGCCGTTGGTTTGGCAAAACAGCAACAATCTGTAGGACGGAATTTCTGTAGTTGTTAGGGTACAAAATGTAGTGTTTGTCTTTTCAGCAAACAACGCTTTAGGTTAAACCCGCTTACCGTTGGTCCAAGCTCTCCACCTATAAAACTCCATCCCACCCACAACAATTTTTTCTTTTATCCTTCCCAGCTTTACATCTCAGCGACGACAACAACATGGATTGAACAATACCTTGACGTCTCAAGTCACAAGTTATGGTCTTGCATGCTTGAGAATGTCTTATTGGGTCTGACTTCCAATCGAATATTTTCCATAATTTTGTAAAAGGTATGTGACAAACTTTCCTCTTCTTTTTTTCTTATTTTGTTCTCCCCTCGAATGATGACTCTATGACACGCTATGGCATTCCTCAAACTTAATCACCATGTGGAATTCGTGTATAACTAAAGTTTCAGCCTTGTCTGACATACTCTACATCTTTTGCTGCTATCAACAAGTTTAACTTGCATGATCATTGACTAACAGAACTGTCAATAGGTAAACAAATCTCTTCCATTTTCTTGTTCGATTCCAATGAAGAAACCATGAACGAACGGGCGGACATAACGTATACATCTACCTGCATCCATCAAAAGCGAAGCGTACAAACTTTGCGGGTGTAGGACCGGGTGTACTACTTGTTGAGAACTCGTCACCTGAGCTTTCGGCTTATCCTTCTTTGGTTGCCATCCGTGGGACTTGCAATATACTAACAAGTCTTCAGGTATTTTCCAATTTTTCTGTTGCTTCTGTTGTGCACACCCAACCCAGTCAACTTTATATGATGAATCTTATTATTCACACTGTGTGATCCATGCTCTGCATGGTATGAACATTTTACAAAAATTCTGATTTAATGAGGTGAGTTTCGATATGCTACTGAGTACAAGTATCACTATGCTAACGTTCATTAGCCTGACTATTGTTGACACATCACACTTCTGAATCACACATAACGCTTTTTTGATATGTGCTGACTGGCTTCGTGATGTAGGAATTTTTGCTACTATAGTCTGGGAAACCAGCAAGTTTCAAAGCGTGAGCATCCCTCCATCCCCCTGCCCCAGCTTTCCTATGATGAGCAACAATTATTTCGCTGTGTTCTTACTGAACATCATTGAAGAAAAACAATTTTCACCTTGGAGAACTGATACCACCACACTATCTGTCTTTTATCACGTGAAGATGTGTTTTGTGCTTAGCTGACAGCTAGACGCAGGTTACCAAATGGAATTAGCTATGATACCCCAATACACATATTGCCTTTTGAACATTTTCTCTCGTAACATGCCATCTTCGTAGTCTTGAACATTGTAGCTACTTCAGATTTCCATATAAATTGCCGTTGATCTCGGAGCGTCCCAAAGCAGGAATCAATGCAGCAGATGTAACTCATTATCCACTATCGTTGATGTCACCCCGTAATGAATATCCTAACCCTGAATTTCATAGTTAGAATGCTCGGATTGGTGCAAAATTTCCGCATCCCCAGGAATACGTCTTTCGCATGGGCCCCCTGGCTAGCGTACATGCATTTCTACAGGAGACCGGGGAGGCAGATGCCATGCGGCAGTGCAATCACGGGTTCAATTACTAGTAGAATGTGGCACAGAATTACCGGAGGGTTGTAGCATACCTAACATGCAAGGTACTCTCATCTAGAGCCGCCTACGTACCATAAAATACAAACAGCTTCATTACGGCAATTTTGCCGATGTGTATACAGAATTACAGCTTTTTGCGTGTCTGAAATCGTCCGAAATAGTATACATTCCATCCCTAAAATATTGTCACCAGGTGGTGAGTTTGCACCGTTTGTTCCAGCTGCAGTCGGAGACCGACGGCGCCGTTTTCCCAATCCATACTATCAATTCCCGTGGCCGTATTATTTCCACACCTTCAATTTGTCAGTTCGATCGCTCCTCAACTACTTCTTCTCTTTCTCGTGGTTTCTCTGTTCGAATACAAGAAAAGTCACAATGGGTTTCGGAGCTCCAGGCACCGGTGTCACTCCCACCAAGCCCACCCCGTGAGTTCCCTCGGTTCCTCCATGCTTCCTGGCGCATGAAGTCACGCAATATCATCCGCAGAAGCCATGGTTTCGAAAGCTGAAGGCTAACTTGTTATGCAGTCCCGAGCGTGGTAGTTTCCCCCTTGACCATGAAGGTACGGTTTCCTAGTGCTTCAATCGAGCCTGCGTTCCATCTACCATCTCCATTTCGAGTTCCCGACCCACCGGGGGGTCGATGAGGTTACCGGCGATCAGTTCGAACCCGAGAAATATGGCCGTGCTAATATCTAATTGATTAAGGCGAATGCAAACACCTCATCGCTGGTTACCTGAAATGTATCAAGTCCCAGCGTGGCGTCAACGACGAAGAGTGCCGGAAACTGGCAAAGGGCTATCTGGCTTGCCGGATGGATAAGTACGTGCAATCTCGGCTGAACTTTGGGTATGGAGAGACTCCCATGGTGGCTAACGGACGTCTGGCTTAGGAACCTGATGGCACCGGACGACTTTAAGAATCTGGGACTTATTTTCGACAAGGAAGACAAGACTGCGAATGAGAAGTCGTGAGGTTGTCCGAATTTGGTGAAGCTGTATGATACCATGTCTGATGTTTAGATATCTCTTGTTCTCCTGGGCGTTGGCGGGTTGTGTATATATCTAGTTCGGTTTGTACAATACGTCCACTCAAATAAAAAAAAGCCATAGACATTCCCATTCGCCACGTCTTGGAGCTGGGAAGTTAAGCAATGTAGATCAGCCAGTTGACGCGAATCCATGCGGGGAAAGCCAGTCGGAACGGCAACCCAATGAGCGCATCCGTCACCCTAGCTTTTAAAGTGCAACACTAACGCAGCATCACCAAACCCTCACGCTTGACTCGTACCTCCACGAATGTCGTCGATCGCACGACCGCCAGACCCATGTCTGGTCGCGATTATCTTAATCGTGCGCTCCCGCGCCGGCCCTCGCTTCGTGTTCCATTATCCCCCCAACCCCCTCAGTGAGAACGGCCTCCGCCCAGCACCCAAAGGCCGTCGCCCCTCACGCGCCAAATCCGCCAAGAGCAACGACTCCAGTTCCAGTGAAGAGTCCGGGTCGACGTCCGACGAAGACGAGGAGGAGTCGCATGCTCAGAGCCAGAATGCCAGCTCGACACATCTCGCCGGAAGCGCTTTGTCGGCTGGCCGACGGTGGAGTAATTTTGGTCTCGATGATCATGGTTCCATGGCTGCTTCGCCTGGAGGGGACTCGCAGCGGGCTGGGTCCATAGGGTCGATTCGTGGGATGCGGAAGCGTGCGGGCAATTCGGACGTCGAGGATGATCCCGGGGCCGGGTCGGATAGACAAGAGGATGGGGCGGGGGGTTCAGGAGGGGGGCTCCGGCCACCGTGGGAGTCGCTGCTTGGTTTACAGGCTGACGTTTGGGAGAAGTTGCTGAGCCCGTCTCGGTCGTGGCATAAGCGGCGGTTTGAGGTCGGAATCAATGACCTGGCGTTTGTGGGGTGGCCGGTCTTTGTTCGAGAGGATGGGACTTGGAGGAAACAGCGAAGGAAGAAGAAGAAGACCAAACCGGAGTGGGAAGGAGGCGAACTTGGCCATAATGAATCACCCGAGGATTCGCGCGATGATGCCGATGAGGCTATCTCTGCCTCGACGGAAACCTTGAGCCCGCATACAATGACCGCATCAGATTCTCAACGGGCTTCGATGGGAAGCATCAAGAGTTCACGGACGCTAAGTGAGATGCTGGATGGTGACGATAAGGATTCGATGACCATGTTCAATGTGGTGTTTGTATTGGACCCGCCGCTGTTGGAATACTCCATGCGCATCCGAGAGATCTACGACAATATCATCAAGAAGTTTGCGAAAGCACTGAAGTGGGAGCAGGCGCGAACGGACTACGTCTGGCGGGAGGCTCAGCATATTTCGCATATCAAGGAAAAATCGAAAGAAACAAGTAGGTTGTTGGGGTTTTGATTGGCTTCAAATGGGACTTCTGGCGCTAATGATTACAGGAACGTCTGTCAATTCGCTCTACTCCGAACTCATCAACCATTCCTCCCTAGCAAGGGCAATATACACAGTCTACAGTAACATTTCGGCTTCCAAGATCGCATCCGTTTCGCTGAGCCCGGACGTATCTATTTCGCTTCAAATCCCACCTCTTACCTCAACGCCTTATCTCCCTGGGCCAAGCGACAAAGCGTACCCAGGTCTCTGGCTTACAACAGCAGATAGCGTTACACCCGCTGATGACCCGACCGCTGATGAAAACACTGCTCCACATCAAGTGCTAGCTAAACACTTTGCGTTACTGTTGCTTAGTGACGAGGCGACAATCCTCAAGGACGTCGAAGCATCAGGAGGTGCTCTAGCTCCCGCCCTTGCTCACTACATCCGATGTTCAAAGCCAACGAAATCATTTGCCCAAATATCTGCTTTGTCAGGGATACCGCTTTCCACCATACAGATGTTGGCGAGCCATCTCGTGTACTGGAGGCGAGCACGCGCCATCCCGCCACTCCACCAGCGGGATGTATATTTTGTCTCTCCGAACTGTGACCTCAGCAAACTAGAAGTAGCGACCGCCGCATATCAATTGGCGTTTCCAACCCTTCCCAGTCTACCGAAGATGCTGTCGGCGTTGAGTGGCACGCCTAGGCCCTACGGGAGCTTTATTCCGAGTAAGGACCATAAAGAGGCCTATTTTGCGATCCTAGCATGGTTATTACGGGGAGGATGGGTGACTCAACTCCGAACGTTTGCGCGAGTCAAGGTGTCTCCAGAGATTAAGATGGCCGTGGAGAGGGCTCTTCGACGTGAGGAAGTGGATAAATACCTCAGCAAACGAGGATCGTCCATAGTCTCCGACAATAGCAAATACAATGGCAATGCATCAGAGGAGGACGACGATGATGCTAGCTCGTCTTCATCGTCCTCTCTCGCAAGCCAAGATAGCGGCGAGGAAACGCCAATGCCTGGCCGGTATAAACCTGACAGCAAACTAGACCTCTCGCATTCGCTCCTAGACCATGACACCTCCCTGAAAACGGCATCTTTGATTCTGTTCCCCCATCGCGCCCCGCCGCTAGAGTCTCGGTGGCTCGATGAGATCGTTTCACGATTCCCTAAACAGCCCCGGTTCGCTCTGAGGGGACGAGCTAACATCGACGAGAACGACCCGGAATATGCAGGGCTTCGAACTGCAATGAAGGACTTGTGGCCGGTCTACATTAAGTACTTCAACGGAATGGATGCCCTCGAGAAGGTTCCCGTGCGTGAGAACCTCAAGCGCAAACTGGTGTGGCAGGTCCTCACGCGCCTGGGACTGGTCACCAGCTCGCAGTCATCCATCGAATTGAACACCAATGAACAGGTGCTGGTCGGTGTGAGACATTGGTAGTGATGACGATGTGACTTATGTAATGACTACACGATACGATACATACAAAACCATGTATATCCATAATAATCGAATGATATGACCTATCGGCATTCCGGAAATAGAATCCAGGCCATCAAGATTTGACTAATCCGATCTCCATGATCGATCATGTGATATCCCGGGCCTTTCGGCCGCAAGTTCATTGAAAACAGCGGATCCGAAGAATTCCGAACAAGTATTATTCCCTTTGACCCCAAGCCTCAGCCCTAATAACCTTGCGCTAAGCGACCGTTCAGAATTCCCTTTTTTTTTTTTTTTTCCGCCTTTGAACTGGCTAACCGCTTAGGTAAAGTAGCGAGAGCAAGGAACCTCGTTCTTCCGCCTCGGCATCTACGGCCGCTACCATTGGTGCACGGGTTATGCAGTGGGATGTGAGGAACAGAAACCTTCATCCCCACGGCATACGCCGGAAGGACATGCAAATATCGATCACGTGTGGGTGTGTTTCCTGGGCCTCCGAATATACCGATCTGTATAAAATTAGGCCAGTACGGAACTGCGGTATCACTTAGATTGGTTTCTGAATTACTAGTATATTCAGAAGCACATAGCCTATCACTTTCTGCAGGTATCAACGCTAAACCCGACCAGAATCAAATATTTGATTAAGTTAGGGATTGAGCATAAGGCTGCTGTTTGAAGATGTGTAGCGAATATATACACCACTTCTGGTAATGGGATGAAGAAATGTATGCTGAAACCATATTTCAAGGGAAATGCGACTCAGTTACCCGGCCCGATTGAAACATGGGTGGTTTTACAGAAACCGGTCATTGTCATTGATTCACCACACGTGAGTCCTATGTTACAAGGTCCCCATCTCTGTTAATTTGTCGTACGTAATTGGCAAAGCCATTGGGGAACGCGGAGGAGGGAATTTAGCCAAGTGTATTCGAAAGAAATTCAACCAGATGAACCCAAGTGTATGAATTGCGGTTGCTATGGTTCGCTGCGTCTTGTTGTTGTCCGGGCTTGTAATATTGTTAGACTTGCTTTGACAGGTGCCCCACTGGTATGTAAAATCATTACACTTGAGAACCGAAACCTGCCTTTATATGCATGCCTCCGGTAGGAGTATCCATGTACTGGTATGGCTCCTGGTCCTCCTGTGGCATAGCATTGAGAACGACAAAGAATGGAAATAAAGTTTAATGAAAAGGAATGGGGAAACAGGAACAGAAAGTAAAAATGTCAAAATGTTCTAAATGATCAGCATTCTATATACTCCGCATATCCGGTGGATGTATTGTAGATATCAGGGTCCGTGATTTCGAGAAATGCCTTAGAACAAGAAAGAAATAGTGTCCCGTCGATGATTGATCTCTACATAGGAGTACTAGTAGTAGAATCCAGGCACATGACATCACTGAAAGTCGTCGTTAGAATTTAATTGTTCTGCTGTACGGCCAACGTCTCTCCAATGATACAGGGTGTTTTTTTGCCCCCAATCTGTATAGTTACATGGCTAGCCATTTGGGCAATACAATAGAGGGGTTCTCCTCTAGGTATATTAACCCACGCATTGATCACAGGCTACTACTACTACTACTACTAGTACCCCTCCATAAGCCCCTCCATGATCTTGCGCGATACGCCCGTGTCACTCACATCGCTACAATTGTACATGGACATGATCGTTTTGTTAATTATTGGTCGGCGACGGTTTGGTTCTGCATCGTTGCTTTTGTTGGGAAGATCACCTGCGGTCCTGTTTGGCCGTAACGTTAACCTTGCATATTCAAAGAGGGCCAGCCCCGCGGCTAGGATTGGCGCAGTGAGGGACATATTATGATCTCTATACTTCCTGTACTTGAAGTTGGGCGTATTTGGTGGAAGAAGATGCACGTACCGAGATTGTGACCAAGCTATGGAGGGGAAGCGCGGGTCCATAGACATCTCGGCAATGTGGTCGCGTAGTGCTTGGTTCACAGTCGTTGAACAGGGAAGAATCACCTTTTTTTCGTCCAGGGTCTCTGTCAAGCATAATAAAGAACTGGCGCAGTTCGTGCTGGAGGCGTCGACATGTTCTTACTACAAACGGTAAAAGTCCAGCCGATAAGATTGTTGCTCTTGGAAATACACTGTAATTGTTGATACCTACATACTTTACCTGGACTAAGTATAGTACTGCGCATTAGATACTTTCTTGCAAGTCGAGGGATATAAAAGGGACAGGTGAGATCCAGAGATTTATGGAACCAGAGATTTATGAATAGATCCTTCTTTTCTCTCTCTCTTTTTGTTCTCCTTTTTCTTTTCACAATTCTAGGCAGCGAAAACGGTGGTTCATGTTTCTCTTCCCCCCCCCCCCCCCACAGAAGCCCTGAAGTCCACTAAAAGACAGTGCCTGAGGTAAGAGGAACAAACGGACGTACGGGAGAGACCGATTACAATTACAATTTTC